TTATGATGTTATAAAGATTTTTAGATATTATTAGCCACTTTTTGTAATAGTGTTCTTATGGATGACACAGAATTACATTTGAATTCCTTTGTTGTATTACAGGGTGGAGGTAAAACAAGTTATGCTCTGTGTGGAATGGAGACTGGTTTATACAGAGATGCAGAGGAGAGAAAAACCCAGTTAGTCCTTCAAATTTTATATTTTTCAATATCATTAATCTATACACATATACAGATATACTGGCCAAGATTTTTTATTACATTCTATAAGATGATTTCATACTTTGTTATCTACTGGTAAAGTTTTCTTTATTACATTCTATAAGATAATTTCAAACTTTGTTATCTACTGGTAAAGTTTTCTTTATTACATTCTATAAGATAATTTCAAACTTTGTTATCTACTGGTAAAGTTTTCTTTATTACATTCTATAAGATAATTTCAAACTTTGTTATCTACTGGTAAAGTTTTCTTTATTACATTCTATAAGATAATTTCAAACTTTGTTATCTACTGGTAAAGTTTTCTTTATTACATTCTATAAGATGATTTCATACTTTGTTATCTACTGGTAAAGTTTTCTTTATTACATTCTATAAGATAATTTCAAACTTTGTTATCTACTGGTAAAGTTTTCTTTATTACATTCTATAAGATAATTTCAAACTTTGTTATCTACTGGTAAAGTTTTCTTTATTACATTCTATAAGATGATTTCATACTTTGTTATCTACTGGTAAAGTTTTCTTTATTACATTCTATAAGATAATTTCAAACTTTGTTATCTACTGGTAAAGTTTTCTTTATTACATTCTATAAGATAATTTCATACTTTGTTATCTACTGGTAAAGTTTTCTTTATTACATTCTATAAGATAATTTCAAACTTTGTTATCTACTGGTAAAATTTTCTTTATTACATTCTATAAGATGAACTGTAGCAGACAGGTCCAATCTCATCAGTTCAGAAAGTATCATATTGATATGTTATTAGTATTTCAGTCATCTGATTGGTCAATCACTAAAATTGATAGTGATGATTTTTATGAGCAAATCAGAGGATTACCATTACCACTCTCTCACTCTCTCCACTCTCTCCACTCACTCTCTCCACTCTCTCCACTCACTCTCTCCACTCTCTCCACTCACTGTCTCCACTCTCTCCACTCAATCTCTCCACTCTCTCCACTCTTAGCTGAACAGTACCTGTCCTATTTTGAACAGCAAGCCTTAACACTATCTCCTATACAACCAATATGTTGCTAAGTCGAGAATTAATTCTAACAGTAGGATATAAAACGACTATGTATTTCTAGATATTGGTATTTTGGTCCACTTAAATCAAGATGGACGTATATTAGAAGTATAATGAAAGAATGGCCGCCAAGTTTTAAAGCTACTATAAGTTACGTCCTAGCGACACCAGAAAATACACAACTAAAACCAGTCTCACAATCAAAACAACATATACAGTCCTCTAATGGATGGTTTGGTTCTATATTTGGACCTGGTTATAAGAAAAAAGGTAAGTTTGTATTTTTGGTTTGTTTGAATGAGGAATGTGTATTGACCTAACACTACAAAATATAATAAAACCTGTTAGTAAAATATAATAAAACCTGATAGTAAAATATAATAAAACCTGATAGTAATATATAATAAAACCTGATAGTAAAATATAATAAAACCTGATAGTAATATATAATAAAATCTGATAGTAATATATAATAAAACCTGGTAGTAAAATATAATAATATGATTGATAGGTTCATTATAAGATTCAACACTTATTAATATCCTATTACACATGGGTGGACCTTTTAACTATTTTAGATTTAAAGAGACAGGTGCGCCATTTTATTTGACCAGGAATACTTTAGTCTCAGAAATGGGACTTTTTTAGCCTATCACCGTCGAATTTGAGACTTCAAATCCATGTATGTCCAGATTTATCCGTGTTTGAATGTTAATTTGACGACTTGTCAGTTTAAGATACTCTGTAATATATAGAAAAGACATATGAAAATAATGAGTAAAAATTCCTAGTTTTAAGTATTTAAGAGGAATTATGCAATTTTCGTACATTTCTAGTACTTCTGAAGACTATTCACATATATTCAAGACTCAAATTAACCGCCTT